ACCTTTAACTGTTGACTTGGGAAGTGGTCGGTTCATCAGACATATCAATTTGCTGTAGGCTGGTTTGCAACACCAAAGGTTGTTTTGAATTATCAGTTGCGCTAGATTGGGATGTGGAAGATATGATCGCTTGAAAAGAGGAATGTAGATATGAGACGTTAGGTGGCTACATCTTTTCTCGTTCTTGAAGAGTACTATCAACACTATTTCTAGTAAATTCGCTTATGGGAAATTTGGTGCTATCTACAGGAAATATTCCTGTTGTTTTAAATCCAGAAATAATATTTTCATATGTCATAGATTTTTTCCAAACAGTCCCAAGAACCTCGGAAAATTCTACCTTAGTTAACCGGCCAGAGCCAGAACCCATTTTCTTTTTGCCTAGAGAAATAAGTTCTTTTTCCCAACATGTCTCCACAGATCCAAATACGCACTTATCTAAAGGCTGTAATCTATCTGTCAAATGGCTTGGTAGTTTGATCAAAATTATGTTGTTGTTAATGGCTTCTTCTAAGATCCTCACACTCATATGGCTGGCATGGCCATCAAAAATAAGTAAAGCATACTGACTCAGCGATAGTTTCTCCTCCCGTACTTTTTGGATATGAGGTATAAAAGTGGTGAACCAATGGAAGAATTGCGGCTCCTCCATCCATCCATTACTTCAGGTGGTATAACGGGTACCAGGGTATCCTTTTTCTGAAACCCATCTTGGCTGAACTGCGGCTCCCTTGAATACGACTAGCGGAGGTAAAACAGATCCATCGGCTCCAATGCAAGCGAGCACCGTGGTATTTTCCCTACCACTACCTCCTGATACTCTACAAAGTGGCCTACCTTTTTGGCCTATTGCACGAATGCGACTAGGGTCACTAGGAATTACACTTTCATCTGCGTTATAAATAAAACAGGCCTTATCCGGGCTAATCAGATCTTTGCTAATTAATGTTTGTCTCAGAATTTCGTAAAAATTATAAACTACTTTGGGTTTTCGTGCGTCTTTACGTAATTTCTGTAACAGTTCAGGCTTTTTAACTGATAGGGCGAGATGTCTTTTCAAAAAATCATAATACCAATCGTCTCCGGGTCTATTGTTTTTAAAAGAAGTTTGTAATTCTTTGCTCTCGACATAAGTTTTGACTAGGTCCTGCAGCTCATTTTTATCGCAGGGATAACCGTATTGTGCTCGAGCAAGGATACATTTCTCTATAGTATTCTCAACTTCTGCTGATAGGGCAGGTTTTCGACCTCTCGCTACGGAATCAATGGGGGTTCTTCTTTTTCCAGAAAGTCTTTGACAGATAACAGATATGGGAACACCATAGAACTCTTGAGCTGCTCTATAGGTTTATTTTTGTTTGCAACATCCTCGACAGCTCTTCTAATATCTTCAGATGTATATGAAGGCCCAGCATTTTTTTACATAGTTCCTAGGCATCTGAAAACGAAATTAGGTACTTTAAACATTGTTGTAAGTTCTTTGTGTAACTTTAGCATAAAAATAAACATGTTTACATTTTCCCTAAAAATATATGTTTAAAAAGCCATAATAATCCAAATGCAAAACTACTTACCTTTTAGGAAGCAA